CAGAAGAGGCAAAGTCAAATCAAAATACTGGTAAGGGCGGTAAAGAGAATTCGTGACATTAGCGCTTCATGTTGTTTCATTATAACTTCTGTGTGGCCAGTCTAGTATTCTAACAAATGACCCATGTCGAATTTCTGGTCCATCAGGGCAGCGGGGGATCTAAAAATCAAATGCCTAGATTGTGATATGGGGAAGAAACGGTAGTACTCCAAGAAAACCCACTTTCACTGGTAAAGCGCCAAATAGTCTATCTAACTAGTGCAAATTAAACTTAGAAGATATTAAAAACGACTAGGTGGTGGAGGGAAGAATCTAAGGCGTGACTGTAGGTTCACGTGACATAGTATTCCTCTTGTTATAATTTACTTTGAGGAAGGAGCTTTGGCGGATGAATAGTCTGTCTAAGGTGGATCTTTGTTGTCACTGGTGGAGAAGCGACGGAAGAAAGAGGACTGGATGTGAGGCCTGTCAGTTTGCTCTTTCGGTAGTGGAGAAGATTCAGTGGAAGCATCTATAAGTTAGATGACGAGTGGTCGGCGGGGGTTTCTGGCTTGGGAATGGGAGCGAACGTAGATGTTGGAAAAGACTTGTTTGTTGGGTGTTGTCATTGGTTATTAGTTGAATGTGGTCTTCCGATGGCGGCTGGGTCTGGATGACTATTTTCCTTCATGCAAGCGATGTTTGGGTTGACTTGTTTTGAAATGTATTATTTTGATTAGGCGTTGGCTGAGTACGCTGATCTTTTACTGTTGTTTTTTCTGTACTGTGGGTTTGAGTTTCCTAGTTGGCAAAGGGTGCTTTGTGGAGCTGGCATGGAGAATACGTGGAAGGTCTAATGGTTTGATTTGGAGGTGGTCGAGGTTTGTGATATGTTTTTTTCTGCTTTAAAGTGGTATAAGTCAAGGAAGCAACCATGAGAAAGAATGAATTCCGCTGTTTGTTTGGATGACATAACAACTTTCATAAAATGTGAAGGCATTCCTGTTTTGCTTGATGTGATTCGATAGACAGCGTGAATTTTGGAGTGCGAATCTTTTTCAAGGCTTTGGTGGATGTCTTCAGTGGTGAAGAATTGGTCCACATTTTGTAGAAAAACTGTATGAAGGCTGGCACTGCTTTTTGGAGGTTGGCATGTTATGGGTAGATTAGAGTTCCATGGCTAGCTTAAGTAGCTTAGGTCATCAGAAGTCTTGGGCTGGAGGAGTGTACCTTCTTTTCGTAAACTTCTGGATCGTTCTGGGATTATGTTGGCTTGTGGTTTGTACTTGCAGATAAAGTCCACCACTCCACAAAGAGAAAAGTCATGGGGTAGCCCATCGAAAATTATCGGCAGCAGAGACGTCATATTGACGGCAATGGTCTTACCAAAGGAAAGCATGGCTGAACACGTCTGACTGGTTCGAATTCTAAGCAAGGAATCCAACAGAGACAAGGCACGGGAGGTATTTTGGAGGGACCAATCAAATGAATATTCGAGAGTACATCTAAGTAATTAGTTTCCCGGATTTTCGAAGATAATGAAATCCTCCTTCACCCTGCATGTGGGAAAGATTATGACAACAGGATGAAAAACACATATGTATGCAATTTAATACATATGTGTGTACGTGCATGAGCTGGAACTAAATCTTGAGAAGCAAAAGTGAAGACAAGGCATGACCAAAAGTTTGGAAATTTTTGACAAGTACTCCAATAAATGGTGATTGATCAGGGTGGATTGCGATCATAGGATCCGAAGTATTTTGCTGCTGGGGGAGGAGGGTACCCCGAGAAAACCCACTTTCACGACCAGGGCGCAAAATAAAATGTCCTAACCGTGCCTGTGAAATGCTGAAATTGGGTTTGTGTGTATTTTTGGTAACATGTAAAAGCGACTTGGAAGTGGGTGTTTAGGTGAAAGGAACTGTAATGTTTCACGACTGATGTGTTGGCTTTTCCGTAAACTACATAGTATATCTTCGATAATTTTAACAAATTGCGGTGTGGGGTCCAAATCTATCTTTTTATAGTGGTTTGTATCACTAAGTTGTCGGTATGCTTCATTGATATAATCAGTTTTATCTTGAATGACAGTGGTATCGCCCTTATCAGCTGGTTTAATATTAATTTCATTTTCGTGTTTCAGTGAAATTAGAGCAAAATGTTCACTATAGGAGAGATTGTTTCGTACTTTTGAGTTAGAGTTAATAGCTTGAATTACTTCATTTTCAATTGCAGTAATAAAACGCTCTAGATGTGATTCCCTGTTAGCTGGGAGTGACCAGAAGGATTTTTCTTTAAACTGTGAGTCGAAATTATTTCTTTCAGTAGTTTGGTTCTGAAAAAAATTTCGAAGTCTTAATCTGCGTGCAAATTCTTGGAGGTCGGAAATGGCTTCAAAAATATCTATGTTTTTAGGAGTAGGAGAAAAATTAAGACCTTTACTAAGAAGTTTGTGTTGAGCTTCAGTTAGTGTTTTAGAGAACAGGTTGACGACATTGGAAGTGTTCTTGGATTTGTGTTGATCAGATGGAGAAGCTAGTGGAAACAGAAGTATGATCTATTTTAGGAGAGACACAATGTATATGTTTACATTGTTGGAGTTATTAACCAGGAGGTCACAGATGGCACTAATATGAATTTGTTTAAAGTTAATATTTTGTTGTAAACAGAAATTGTGGCTTGAATAGGAGAAACTTTTGTCCTTATGTGAAAGATCATGGTGTATTTTTGTTGTTGTTGTTGCTTTTCGCGTTATTTACAAAAGTCTTTATTGTTTTGTTAATAAATGCATCAAGTTTTTGTTGTTCAATGGAACATATTGTGTTCTCGGAATTTGTAGCAGCAATTTTCTTTTCCAGGTTGTCAATTGCGGATTTGCAGAAGTTTTGCGTGAGTTTTATAAGTGTAAGTGAGGTGGAATGAAGAATTTTCTTTCACTATGATCAAAACAATTTGTCGTTAGCTCCTATTGTAACTGGTGGATTCAAATTAAGGGACTTGGGTATAGTTTGATTCTGTAAATGTTGTCCTAGCACATCAGCATGGTGCATGTACCTCAGTCTTTTTTCATTCTGTTTTCTGAGTAGTTTGAAAGTCTTAGTAGAGTTTAGATCAGAGTGCACTTGAGCAGTTGTACTGAAGGAAGTGTTTAGATGGTGAATCATTGCTGGCTATCTGAGTAGCATTGATCTGAGTCGAGCATTTGGGTATAGGCATGTTGGGTTGGTTCTACAGAATAGCTAGACGTCGGCGTAGTTGTTGTGCTCTAAAATGAAAGAAGAAGTATAAGAAACTGTTAATCAGTATGTGTTCAGCTGTAGACTTGGACGGTGTTAATATTGTTATGAAATGAGTGGGATTGCTAAAGGTTCTGGAACGGATCTGGTGGACTATGTGAATGTTGTACTTCGTGGTTGATTTTAAAGCTGGCGTTATTTCTTCTGTAGTGATAGAAAGGTCGTCGCTCCTGAGAAAGACAGAAAAGAGATGCGTATTTGATCTAGAAGGTTTACAGGTAACATGCGTAAAAGGAATTCTGTAGTGAACTACGGTAATCGAGATCTGCGGGAGTTGTTGTATGAGGGTTCCACCCCTACGTAAAGGCCTGGTCTTGGTAGGATCTATGGAGGCGTTGGGCTTGTGTTCTATTATGAATGTGTCGGTTTCGTGTAGGGAGAAATCCTTCGGGATCCCGTCGATAATGACTGGGGAGACTGAAGCGTAGGAGGGCGAGGGTGGTCCTCCCGTGGGAGGGCAATCGCTGTGGTCGTGAAGTGTAGAGCGATAGGTCTTCATGTCTTGATGGAGTGGTGACTGTTTGGACCTTGCAACAGACACAGTAGTGGTTGAAACGCTATATATCCTCACTTGCATAAACAACAGTTGTTATGGTGTGAACTAGTTTAGGTAAGTGAAGTAAGATATTTACAAATCAGAATTAGTGCAAAGATCAATACCACATTACTATTTATTTTACTTTTTAACACCAGTTATTTATTAATTTTATTATTATTTACTTTAATTAACTTTACTATCATTCAGAAGAACCTGCGAACCAGCAAACTAATCTTACTGAGAAGGTCAAAAGGTGACCAAACAAGTTGACTGGATTGCGAGTACTTGTACAGGACAATATTACACAAATATTTGTGCTGTACCATTCACGGGTATTGAAACCCTGTTTTTAGCATCAAAAGCTTCCAGACATACCCCTGAGCCACTGGGGGGGGGGGGGCTAGAGAAAGGACTCAAATGCTGAATACTAGTGCTATATATATATATAGTTTTTACAATTAATAAATTAAATTCACCATCTAATTGCCTTTACTCATTATTTGTGACTGTATGTGCTACCATAACTATTTTCATTACTGTATATATATATATATATATTTATGGGACACACCAAAATAAACTAAATCCTCGTGATGGATAGAGCGCAAACAGCCTATAGTGTAGCATTGCGCCAAAACAAACATATAAACCATTAAATGTAAAAATGACTCGCTAAATACTTAATATACACTAGAAATCAGTTGATCTAGCGTTTTTAAGGGAAATAAAAATGTAGTTGAACTATAATACATAAACAATAAAGAAATAAAGGAGAAATTCCTATCTCACAATGTAGTAAGTATATAATACTTATGTGGATATGTGTGGCTTACATATAAAAAATGTGTGTAATTCAGAAGTATTAAGCAGTAACAAATTTTTGTTTTTTAAATAAAAGTATTAATAAGTTAAATTTAAAATACGATAAATATAAATTTCATAAGAAAAATATGACAAACTATTTAACCTTTCCTTTTAGCTCCACTCCTGTGACTCAGCGATAAGCTTGAAGTGTTATAAAGTAAAATTCAAGGGTCGATCCCTGCGGTTGAGCACGGTATAGATATCCTATTGTTCAGTTTTTGCACTTAACGACAAACAAAAATTATATTTTAAACGTAATAAATATGTAATATTAACTATTCTCGTTTCCATACGTTTTTTTACAGTGCCACCTGAAAGCAAACTAATTAGCGATAGGTTCGAGAGTAGGAATCTTATTAGCTCCTTGTAGTGCTTGTTCGTTTTGACCTTTGTAGGGTGGTTAGAAAACGAAGTTGAAAAGATTTATTTCTGCAGTAAGGAAGAACGTGCGAATTAAATTTCAGTTAAAAGTTGTAGGTTAAGTCTAACTAATCGGAAAAATGCTTTCACGCCTTGCCCTTCGAGGTTAGTTTAAATGTGCTTTATTTTAATGAATAACATTTCTAAATTACTGCTACTAGCAGTGCTAGTACGGTGGTACTACTGTCCTGATTTATAATAGTAATATTTAAAATTCCGATCAGATAAAGTATGTTTTTACTTTTGAAATTTTAGAATTTAAGGAAGTTACACTTAAGCGAAACTAAAATTAAACTTTGCAATCAGTTTGGCAAATTTAATACACTCTTCTTTAAAGTTCATATGTTCTGACTAAGTTAGATTTTTTTTAGATCTAGAATGTGCATAGCCTCAACGTCAAACTATAGAGTAGAACTTAAGTTAAGAGTCGACAAGTTGTTAGTTAGTCGTGAAAACAGAAAAGTAGAAATGAAATTTTAGTAGTTAAATAGTAATAATAATTAACGAAACAATTCAACTTGAAGGTAGGAAAAATTGTAACACTAACATTAGGTTATTTAAATTAAGCATCGTAAGAGTAAAAACAAATTTTTTACAATATCGACCAACTCTTCAGTAAAGTAACAATGTAAGGATAAACTTAGACACAACTGTGGACAGTTTGGTTCACTAAAGCTGTCCCTGCACACCCACTCATTTTTGTCAGATAATTAACAATTCCATTTTACTTTCAAACTCTTATTCCAGAGTTATTCTAACTGCAGTCTATCCTGTCTTTTTAAATCATCAATTTATGTCCTATTGTTGTCAGAATATAGCACAAAAAAGGCTATTAATCCCCTGGATGATCTTGTAAACTTCGGTAAGATCAGTTTTTATCCATATTTTCTCAACATACCTTAACCTATCATCATGAGATACCCCATCCAATGATCCATATACCTAACTAACAAAATTCTTGATTAATTCAAATTAACTATGCACTCAGAAGTCTTATTTACATAATGCAATGTGAAAAAATGTTCCAGACATCCTCTTTAAAAATAAAAGTATCAAGGAGCAAATTAGTCAGTAGATATGATCCTTTTGTTAATTAGGCCTCACTTCCCAGTTGAAAATTTAAAGTGTTCTCACCACATTGAAACTAATGTTATCTGATTAAATTCCAGATGTTTTATTACTTATTCCCTGTTAGATTTCAAGTTTTGTAAGGTATAATAATTAAAACTTTTATATTACAGAAGATATTTACTTTATTTGACTTATACTTTGGTTACTTTCAGACTGTATTTTCGACAATGATTAATCCAAAGTGCTAGATTATTTTGCCGAGTGTTTCCTTTCATGTAAAAAGTACTAAAAATTTTATTAGTGTTACACAGGTAACTTAAACTGACATGTATCATACCATCTTCATAATATATATATATATATATATATATATATATATATTTACAGTGGTTAGCATTGAGAAGTTACCAATATTGTTAACACAATAATACTACATTATTTTGTTTTATTTTGTGTGTGATATAGTGTTTAAGGAGTAAAACATTTTCCCCCATTGTGCAGAGCTCTAAATTTGACATTCAGTGAATGGTAATAACTTATTTATGAATAATATGTTCCTGTATATAAAAAAAATATAAAAAATAGTAGTATAACTGATAAAATGTTATTTCTGTATAATAATTTAAAGCTATGTTCTTTTTGTAGGAAACCACCTGCAGCATGCCATTCCAACATTGAGCGTCAGTCAGTTTAGGTAAGTTTAAACATAACACTGGGCAACAACAAAAAATTTTCTCTGCTACTAGAAAAAAATTAAACTATTCCTGAGTAATTTGATGCTTAATCTAAAAAATCATGTTGAAAATTACTGATCACCTCTAATTTTTGAGTTATGATAGATTTACTCAAAATATTCTTATATACCATGAAAATAACTATTTATTCATTGAAAATTGCATTAAAGAATGTTTAATCTGAATGCTTTGATATGTTTCTTTCATATTCACAGCATGAGCAACAGGAATTCATGGCTTAGTGTTCCCATTGTCCAAAAGTACAGCTTTCAGACTAACTTTAGATAAACTGATAAAATAGTCTCCATCCTTGAGGATGATGTTCAATACCTAATTCCTTCCATTAGTACATCAACATTTGTACAGAAACATAAAGTATGTTCCATGCTAGTGTGAGAAGCAAGACTTTGATGGTGACTTCAGTAAATTGAAACTCTTGTTCCTGGAGCTAATAAATTTCATTGCTATAAATGAAAGCCAAGAAGTTCCCCATGCTGCTTTGATAGAGACAAGTCACAAATTAGATCATTTAGTTCTTCTTGTGTGATCAGATGAGGCAGTTTATGTTGAGGTGCCACAGGAATTACTAGATGAAGAGGATGAAGATGGTTCATTGTTCTCTTCACAGGATAACTCTTCTGTTTCCCAATTTACTGATGGATATTTAATGTGTTATTTAGTTTTCCTTAATATCCAGAAATATTAGTCATGAAAAAATAACAGTCAGTTAGATGATCTTTGGGTTCACGCCATCTCATGGGAACTGCAAATGACATACTTGTTCTCTTCTTATTCAGCCACTGTGTCAAGCTAGATGTGCAAACTATACAAAACACACGTTTGGAGTCCAATGATTTTCTTGGTCACCAATTTTACACCACAAATAGTGGTAGTAACTACCTTTATCTTGTTTGTGATATTTTTCATTTGCAAAACTGTAATATATTTTCCACAAATGTAGCAGAAACTGTTTGGGTGATTTTTGGACTTGAACTTTAGGCAGCCAGCATTTATATTGATTTTCTAAAAGATATATAAGAATTTATGTTTATAGAACTAGAGTTTAAAAGATTTTAAAAAACAAAGCAAGTATAATGCAAGGAAGAAGATCGGACAACTGAGTGAGAGGTGTTTGACTCTGCCCATTATATGCTCAGTTGAGGAATTTCTCGAATGTTCTAGAAAACTAAACACGTGAGGTTTTCATGATTCCCTGATAGAGCAGATGAGCATAGGAATGAAACAAAAGTGGTGCAATTCTCTACAATTATATTGAAAACAAATAGCATATGTGAATAATATATTTATAATTTTACACCAATACAATAGTCAGTGTTTGAAGTTATCAAAAATGTATGCCTTTTACTAATTAAACTGTCCAAGTAAATTTAATTTCACAGCATAAATCTATTGTACTGAGTTGATTACATGGTATTTCACATTGTGCTGATAAAATATTGAGATATTACAATAACTCAAAATCTAGAGGTGGTGGATGAATTCTGAAAAATTTCTTAAATCAGCACCATCAAATTACCGTGATTCACTTGAGTTTCCAGTAGCAAATTTTTTGTTGTCCAGTGTAATTTAAGAAAGAGAATAGAAAACTATAACAATCAAAAAATGGTTACAAGGTCAGTCCCTGGGACTGAACCCATAGTGAAAGGGTTAATTGAAACTTTGTAAAATAACTCAAATGACCATATGCAAATGAAAATATTGTCAGTCCCTGTTGATCTATACAAATGTTTCATAAAGGTTTACTAACAATATGTTTGAACACCATACACACAGGAATGAAGTGTATGATGATTTTTTTCCTTTGATCCTCTTATTTTTGTTTTAGGCCTTTGAATTATGAAATAACATGGAGCTCTAGTGATTGGTAGTTGATAGTTGGGGAAAACTTCATTGTGAAAAGCAAGTAGTTTTACTTGCAAGAATTACTTGATCATCAGAGTACTAGGTACATATGTACTAGGTTGATACATTTTTGGACAGGTAAAAATTGACTCTTACCTATTATATGTGACAGTTTAAAGTTAATGTTGAGCCCTAGTATAATGGAATTGGAAAGCAAAAGAATATGGATCAACTTAGGGTCCTAGGACCATTAAGAAAGAGGTCTGCAACAGGTCATACTTCAACCATGGTAAGCTTGCAAACGAGACCAACAGGGTAGGGGTTCACCAAAATAAGGATTCCAGTCATGCCTTCCAATCATCCATTGCATATCTCTTGTTGCTGGACAATGAAATGAGTGTTCATACTATTCCATGATTTTTTGGTTATTTCAAAATGTATATATATATATATGTATATAGTATATAAAACCTAAAAAAATTACTTAATTTCACATTCTCCACGTGCAAAATTTGATAAGGATTAGCAACCTATGACAAGTAGCAAACAAGAACAAAGGTCATACCTAGAAGAGATAATTGTTTGTTATACTTCTTTATTTCCTGTCTGTGTTTTAAGAAAAATAAGTTTAAGAACCTTCTAAATAGTAATAATGTATGTACATATATAATGTATTATAACTGAAATATGACTATTTTAGAAAATACTAGTCCATTGAAACACAGCCAACAAAGGTCACTTTGTAAAGGCCAGTTTTATGCTCTTGGATACAGTAACATGAGTGCACATGCGCTGCATCATTGCAACTTCTGTAATGTTAACCAGGCATGGCTTGAAGGTCAGTGTGATTAAAATTATAAATATATATAAATGCATAATGTTATGAGATTTGAGCTATTTAGACTAAACATTTGTGTTTTTATGTTATATTTTGTAGTCATTCTAAGACGAAAAAAGCATAATTTTTTATGGTGGTTACAAGGTCAGTCAAATTGACCAAACCTGTACAGAGAATCGATTGTGAAAATAACAGAATAAAAATAATAAGTTATTTACTTTTAAAAATGTTTGATAATTATCTGGAGGTTATAAAGATTTTGCATGTGAAATTT